AGAAACTTTTTCCTTGTAGAACTCTCTTTTTATTTAAGGAGCTCCCCTAACTTTGTATGAAATGTTATATTATTTAATGATAATAATTTTCCTGCAATTTCTTTGAAAAGCCCACTTCAAGACAGTCTGTTTCTTTTGGAAAATGTCTAAATTATGCTCTATGAATTAACCATGTCAAAGAAATAACTGTTTGAGAGTTCCGAGAACAAATGATCCTTTGAACTGAATGAAAAGGTCTTCAGCTTTAAAGAGCACATGTGTTGGTTGACATATCTAGTACAATATAGCAAAGCCTTCCTTCTGTAAGGATGATTTGTGATTGTAACATCTGCCTACTTGTGATCACAATGCAGGAGTTCATACAGACAGTACATTCAACAGTACAAAGTTATTATGAAGCCTATAATTTTCTTGGAACTGTATAGATGCTACAAAGACAAATTGCTGTCCAGAGGCTCAATTAAATTGGCATGTTACAGAAAGGGAAGGTGGAGAAAGGGAAAAAAACCAAGAACTGCAGCAGCAGTAGTTTTGCCAGTGATCTATATAATATTAATTTGGCTTTTTATTTGCCATGATGATTTTCATGGGAGGTAAAGGATCCAGTTTTCCAAAGGATTCCTGCCCTGCAAGCCAACAACAATTGGAGATGTGGGTTCTTTCTGGTAGGAGAAGAAAGTGGCTTCAATCCTGAGTGATAGAAGAGGGCCAGGCTATGCCTCTTCTTATTATGGCTGCCCTATTCCCTTTATTGGGATTAATTTTTACCCTTCTGGCACTCAGAGTTCAAAGGTCTATGGAGATTCTCAATCACCCAGGTCATGGTTATCCCAAAGGTACTTTTCCCAAAAGGCAATTGGGCTTTCTTGGGTTTTTTTTTTCTTTGAAAATGTTTCGCTTCTCATCCAGGAAGCTTCTTCCGTTCTGACCTGATGAGAAGCAAAATGTTTTCAAAGAAAAAAACCCAAGAAAATCCATTTGGCTTTTGGAAAAAGCACCTTTGGGACTCAGAGTTCAAACTTCCCACTTTCTCCTTTCCTTGAATTCAGAAAGAATATTTCAGAGACAAAAAAAAAAAAGTCTAAGATATGGTAAATAAAATGATAATGGCATATTAATCTCTGGCTAAATATAACTGAAAATAGATGCTGGTATGGATAGGTACAAAGTTACCAGTATTAATGCTACGGAGAGAGAATGGATAATTTCTTCTCCATTTTTATGTTAAGTTTTAAAATAGGCAGTGACATCTGGTCAGCACTAAGTTTAGGGAAAATGAAAATAATAAATAATAAACGCGATTTTACTACTACCAAATGCATCCAGTATGATTCTTTAGCTTTTATGTCTTTAAAAAAGTGTTAAAAAAAGATAATACTTTATATAATAGTTCTACAGGATTGGGAGTTATAAGGTGGACTTTTTCTTCTGGGGTTAATTTCCAGTAATATTGGGGGGAAATGAGGAAACAAAACGAAGGATTGCATTGGCCTTAATCCAGTAAAACAATTCAAGGTTTTGGTTGTCACCTTTAAATCCCTTCATGTCTTGGGACCAGGTTATCTGAGGGACCGTCTCTTGTAGGTAACATCTATCTGACCCATTAGAGTGGGAAGGCAGGGAATGCTGCGGATTCCATCCCCGAGGGAGATACACCTGGTGGGACCCAGAAGAAGGGCCTTCTCCGTGGTGGCTCCCTCTCTCTGGAACATCATTCCCCCAGAGATTAGAACAGCCCCCACCCTAATTCTGTTCCAGAAGGTGCTGAAGACCTGGTTCTGCCAGTGGGCCTGACCTGGGGAACCCAGAGCGGGATGGAGCCCATTAAGTGGCTCGTGTGATCGGCTGTTGCTGGGGTGGGAGGTGGGGGTCAGGGGTGATTTTATTACATTAATTTATTTGATCTTTTTATGAGTTTTACTGTTTTTTAAATGTGTCTTTTTATATTCTGTTAGCCACCTTGAGTCGCCATGGGCGAATAGGCGGCAATATAAATAAATAAATAAATAAATAAATAAATAAATAAATAAATAAATAATAAATAAATAAATAAATAAATAAATAAATAAATAGCAAATTATTTTTTTTTAAATTTTTCATAATGCCTACTTATCCTTATATATACTGTAAGCTGCCTTGAGTCACCATGGGCGAATAGGCGGCAATATAAATCTAATAAAATAAATAAATAAATAAATAAATAAATAAATAAATAAATAAATAGCAGATTATTTTTTTAATTTTTCATAATGCCTACTTATCCTTATATCCAAAGTATTATTCTAGCACTACTAATATTTTTGTTGGTAAATCCTTATGGTACTGTTAGTTACTACAGTGCATGCCTATGTTGCTGTCAGTTTTCATTACACAAGAGCTTTGTAAACATGTAGTAATAATGGGATTATATATTATATACTAGTTATATATTTCCAAAAACCATTCCAACTGCTGTTGTTAAATAACTGATTCCTGTTAAATAGAATATATTTCATCCATACAAGCACTCAGATTAGTTACCTACGGGTCAATTCTATAATTACTATTTATAGAATTGACCCGTAGATAACTAATCTGAGTGCTTGTCCCCAGTATCAGATCAAAAAGAGTGCAGAACTGATTTTGGCATTTGTAGATTGCTAGAGAGAGCTAGGATAAAAATGCTATTTGAAAGGTTATAGCCCTTAACTGGATGTAAGGCCTACTGAATCCAATAGAGTTAATTTTGAAAAGCCAAGTAGAGCATTAAACTCTAGGTGTCTTGAATCACTGAGGTTCTGTTTGGATATTACTACTAAAATTAATTTATTTTCAGGAATAAAAAAATGAATGTATTTCAATATCCAATTGACGTTGGATTCTACAGTTGACATGATTTTATACCAAATTCATATTAACAAGACCAAAGAGCAAATATAAATAATATACAATATTTTTAAAGCAATAACAGAACATCTTGAAAACAGAATATTTTTATTTACAAATAATTTTTTGCCCCCAAACAAGCTTATGGAAGCATTGTCATCAATATTAATAAAAGAGAACTGAAAATAATATTTTAATTCTATTAATTAATAAAACTGTTCCTTTTTACAGGAAATTTTGTAATTTCAGGCAAAATAAATGTGAATAAATGCAATTTTTTTAAAAAAAATATTTTTGCTATTTGTAGTAGAAGAAGGAAGGGGGAAATATATTTCTGTGTTTACTACAGAGAAAATTATTGGTATTGATGTTAGAAATAGTAATAGCATTTAGACTTATATGCCAATGGGATATGCACTATGCCATTTCATAGTGCTTTACAGCACTCTCTAAGCAGTTTACAGAGTCAGCATATTGTCCACAACAATCTGGGTCCTCATTTTACCGACCTTGGAAGGTTGGGAGATTGAGTCAACCTTGAGCCAGTCAGGCTCAAACTCCTAGTAATGGGTAGAGTCAACGAGCAATACTGCATTCTAACCATTGCACCATCGTGGCTTACTACAAAATGGAGTATCTTATTTTAAATTTTGTCAACCTTAGTTTTTGTGAAGTGTTGCTTCTAGCAAAGATAGAATGCAGATACACATACACAAATATGTGAGAAATATGTTTTATTATTATATATATATTATTTATAATATATTTATTAACAAAAGAGAAACCTCCAAAAATAGTTTAAAGCACAACTGACTGAGTTTATGCAAGAAGCTATCAATAGCATGCAAGTTCAACCTAACAACTGTGGGCTGTACAAAAATGTCATTTTTGCACTATAAGACACTCTGGACTATAAGACACACCTAGCTTTTGGGGAGGAAAACAAGAAAACAAAAAATCTGCCTCTGCCTCCCAGCCCCAGCACATGGCTCGTCAGGGCTCCGCTCTGTTGCGCTCACCACCAGTCAGCTGAGTGACTGCTGGATCCCAGCCTCCCATAGCCCCACCAATTAGCAGGCTGGCTGACCAGAAACGGGGCTATCGGCGGTTGGATCAACCTCCGGCAATACCGCCGATCAGCTGTTCAAGCAGCGGGCATCATCACGGCCTATCACTGGCGAATTGCGGTGGCGGCAGCAGCGATAGGCAGCAGCGATCCCCGCCACCTGGAACAGCTGATCAATGGTATTCAGGGAGGCCGATCCAACTGCCAATAGGTGGCAGCGGCGAATGGCGGCAGCAACGGTAGACGGTGGTGGTGAGCAGCAGCAGCAGCAACAGGCGGCGGCTGCGATAGGCAATATTCACTCCATAAGACGCACAGACATTTCCACCCACTTATGGGGGGGAAGTGCATCTTATAGTGCAAAAAATACAGTACTTTTTCCACAAATCAGTTCAAACCTCAATATTCATTGATGTGTTGCATTTTTTATCTAAGAAACCCAGAATCATACACAACATTCCCCAACTCATACAATGCACACACCCAGCATAAATGTCTTCCAGATATGTTGGCTGACAACTCTCAGAATTTCTGGCCAAATGGTGGCTATGCTGGATGGGAATTCTAAATTTTAAACATCTAGAGGGAACTAGCTGGGAAAGACTGGTATATACTGTCCAGTATTTTGTATCAGAATCTCCATACTACATGGTGTACATTTTGCATTTTTCTATTGCACCTTGATTCCTAGATTTGGTAACCAGATAATATTGTCTTAAGCAGAAACAAAGCAAAATCTACAATCTCTCACCATTCAGGAAAGTGCTGTTTTTCTACCTTAATAGAAGAATTAAGGTTAAATGAGTACAACATTGCAACTGGCAATCATAATATTTTTCATAAGTCAAATATGCCCCTAACACAGAAGCAGTGAAAATATAAACTTCCTAAATATGCATAATTCTACTCCACCGTGGCACATTTCAGATACAGTACCTTAAATGATGTTGGTCCCCCAGACATGCACAAGCAACCTTCAGACCAAATTAGGGTCTGCTATGTTTAGTCTTCAAACCACCAAAGATCAATTCAAACAATCAGAATCAATTCAATTTTGTTTTGGTCCTACCTTGGTTGAGATAAGTCAGAGTCTCTTCATGAAGCTTTATGGCAGGAGATGTCGCTGCACAGAGCACATATTGAAATGGAGGGAGTTTTGCATCATTCTCAGGGGAAAGTTGAGGCTCTTCTTGTTTAAAGAATGGCAGTGCAAGCACATCACTGAAAATATAAAATGAAAACTTAGTTAGCAATGGGTTGCCTTTTTTTTTTTACTATACAACTACAATGGAGTTAAAGGCAGAATCCTCTGAACCCATATTCCATGAGTATTTTTTCTGGGAACACATTCATTTAATAAGTTAACCTGTTAAAAAAACAAATGATATCAATTTCAATCCATTTCAATATGACCACATTTATATGATGAAAACTGGCACAATAAACTCAATACACAAAGAAAAGGATTTAGAAATATATGCTGTGATGATACTGTTTTTCAAGTAATCTTATTGAATGCAGTATCATATATTCTGTCACATTCATACATAGATGCAGACTGAATTATTTTTTAAAGAAAGAGTCATGTTAGTCTCTAGGAGCAGGAGCAACAGGGAGCTATGGAGCATATTAAAGGTTAAGAAGTTTGCTATTCCACAGGCTTTTATGGACTCTAATACACTTCATTGGATATATGGAATCTAGTGCTCAAAAAAGGATGGGGTAAAACAGAAAGATAAGGTATGTACACATACTCCTACTATTGATGTGGAGAAAGGGTCCCAAAGGTGTTTTTTTTCAAAAGGCAACTGGACTTTGTTTTTCCTTGAAGACGTTTTGCTTCTCATCCAAGAAGTTTCTTCAGCTTTTCTTCAGATGAAGAAGCTTCTTGGATAAAAAGCTAAACATCTTCAAGGAAAAACAAAGTCCAGTTGCCTTTTGAAAAAAGCACTTTTATGACAACCCTGACCTGGATGACTGAGAATCTCCATAGATAAAAGGGGAGGTAACAATACGAAAGAAAATATGAAATACATAATTGCTTTTTTGCCATCAACAAAATACCATTGAAATATTCTATGAGGAAGAAGAGAATTAAAGAATTCAAGCCAGACTTTACTTTAAAGTTATCTTTATGATAAAGATATGCAGTTCATATTAGAAAATAGTTCTTTTAAATGATGATGATGATGATGAAGAAGAAGAAGAAGAAGAAGAAGAAGAAGAAGAAGAAGAAGAAGAAAGAAGAAGAAGGAGGAGAGGAGGAGGGAGGAGGAGAGGAGGAGGAGGAGGAGGAGGAGAGGAGGAAGGAGGAAGAGGAAGAAGGAGGAGAAGAAGAAGAAGAAGAAGAAGAAGAAGAAGAAGAAGAAGAAAAAAACTTGGCAAATAGGAGACAGATTTCCCTAAATATATTTCAATCTATGCAATTGTTCTTGATAAGACAAGACACTCCAATATACTCCAATACTTCAGCACTGCAACCTCCTCATACCTAATCTCTCCACCAAGAACAAGGAAACATCTTCTCTCAGTCTATCCTCCCAGAAACTACCATTCCTAGAAACTATTCCCAGTCTCAAAAGTGGTTCAGTCTCACACACACACGTTATAAAAAAACAAACTAGGTACAAAGACATGTGTGCATGTTTAATAGATCCAGGCATGAATCTCATACTCAGTTAATGGTACCTGATAATACCTATATGCATGATCTATAGCTTGGTAACTGCAGGAGAAATCTATTATCTGTTCACATTCTGGTGTACTCCAGAAAAGTTAGAACTAAAGTCTTGTTCAACTTCTGGTGACTTCCTTGACTATTCATGTATTTTTTTTCAATAGTAGAATGGAAATAGTTGCCACTGCTTTCTTCCAAGCAGTTTTTTTCACTCTATATTTAGCTACAGATATTTCCCGGTGTCTGCCACCCAAATACAAATCATATTTGCCCAGACTTAGCTTTTCTAAGATAAAGTAAGGTTTTAGCAAGGCCTGCCAAGACTTAGGGCTAACACTCAGCCTAAAAAAGACACAAGTCATGGGTCAGGATGTAGATTTATCTCCCTGTATTACAATCTCTGCACAAGAACTGCAGGTCATCCATGACTTTGTGTACCTCAGTTCAACTATCTCCAAAACTCTCTCTTTAGATACCGAGCTGAATAAACGTATTGGTAAAGCGGCCACTACGTTCTCCAGACTTACAAAGAGAGTATGGTTCAATAAGAAGCTGATGGGACATACAAAGATTCAGGTCTATAGAGCCTGTGTCATGAGCACAGTCTTGTACTGTAGTGAGTCTTGGACCCTTTACTCACGGCAGGAGAGAAAGTTGAACACTTTTCATATGTGCTGTCTCTGATGTATCCTTAGCATTATCTGGCATGACAAAGTTCCAAATAGCACAGTCTTGGAACATGCTGGAATTTCTAGCATATATACACTATGAAACAGCGACATCTACGCTAGCTTGGGCATGTCATGAGAATGGCTGATGGTTGGATTCCGAAAGATCTCCTGTATGGAGGTTTAGTGCAGGGAAGGCGCCTTAGAGGGAGACCACAGCTGCAATATAAGGATATCTGCAAGAGGGATCTAAAGGCCTTGGGAATGGACATTAATGACTGGGAAACCTTGACCTCTGATTGTTCATCTTGGAGGCTAAAGACGCAGCATGGCCTTCTCCAATTCGAAGACACACTTGTTCGGCAGGCTGAGGCAAAGAGGCAGACCCAGAACCAGCGAAATCTGGGGGCTGGGCAGGGGACAGAATGTATCTGCCCTCAGTGCGGAAGGGATTGCCACTCTCGAATTGGCCTTTTTAGTCACACCAGATGCTGTTTCAGGACCTCTTTCCAGAGCATGATACCATAGTCTTTTGAGACTGAAGGTTGCCAATGCAATCTCCAAATTTCCTGTCATGTGGCTTTTAAAGACCACTCTTCTTGATTATAGATAAGTTTATGTTTAGTATTTCCAGACAAGTTGGGCCACATTCTAAAACTGTTTAACTAGTCATAAGATTAGGAACATATATGCCAAAAGTTAAAAAGACTGAGTGTATATAATATATAACATTTTACAGCATTCCAAATCCAGTTGGAAACCATGAGGTTTCAGGAAACTAATATTTTATAGTATTAAAATTACCGTAATTATGTTGCATTCATAGATCGTTGTAATCTGTAAAATGAAGGAACAAAGCATACATTGTGTCTTTTTCTAAGCAGAAGCCATCAAAATACTTATTTTCTAATGAATCAAATTCATTTAACTTAATGGGCTTATTTTTTGCTTTTGATTCTAAATATTCAAGAGATGCAACATTAGGTCAACTGTCTTCCATAAATATTTGTGTGCATATGAAAAAAACTACATTTTCTAGATTCCACCACAATAAACATCAACTGAAAATTAGGGCAAGAAGGTGTTTCTCTTGTGCCTACACAGATTAATAATTCACTTTTTCACCAGCAGGAAGATAAAAAAATTAGCTGAATCCATTAATCATATCTGTTTGATAATAAACATGATAAAGGTTCTTAACTGAAAGAGAATGTGATTTCATTTTATGGGGAACTAAAGTTAAAAAGTATGTGAACTGCAAGTTGAACATGAAAACTTTGACAGCTTTCCTGGTAACTGACAATATCTTGACAATATTATTTCTTTATTTTATAGTTTGCTGAAATAATTGTTTCAAAGACAGCAAAATAATACATTTTAAATGCAATATAGAATTTATGTTAGCAAGAATCTAAACCAGTAAAATATACTGTGTTCTTTTCATTTTCAGGTCTACTATATAAAAGTCTTTACACCGTCTCAACATAGAGAGCTACCATAATGATAACTGGAAATGTATAAAAGGACTGTATATGATAAACTTGTAAAAAAGAGTGGTTGTTATGAGCACACAATCTCCTTCTTTTGCTAAATCAAAAAAACCAGAGTGAAGTAGTAGCTAAATGAGTATTCAGCAATCTGGTGCCCACCAGATATATTGGGTCCTGTGATCTGGATGTTGTTTGTTTTAATAGAATTTACATATTCTAAAAGAACAATAAAACATAAGATTTATAGCCTATGTACAGATAGACCTTGACTTACAAACATTTATTTAGAGACTGTTCAAAGTTACAACAGCACTGAAAAAAGTACCTTATGACCAGTTTTCATACTTATGACCATTACCGTATCCCCGTGGTCATGTGATAAAAATTCAGGTGTCTGGCAACTAGCATGTATTTATGTCCCAGGGTCATGTGATTCCCATTTGTAACCTTCCCAGCTGGCTTCTGACAAGCAAAGTCAATGGGGAAAGCTAGATTCACTTAACAACTGAATGATTCACTTAACAAGTGCAATGGTTCACTTAACAACTGTGGCAAAAGAGGTCATAAAATGGGGGCACAATTCACTTAACAAGTGTCTTGCTTAACCTTAATTGGGCTCAATTATGGTCATAAGTCGAGGACTAACTGTAGACATTGTTACAAGAAAATCTGCACTCGGTTCAGAACAGATTGAAGAATGAAGTGGATTGGAGATATGCTTAAATTAGAAAAATGTCATATTTTGGCATTCCATGTTGCCCAAAACCATATTCTCTCCTTTGAAAAAAATAAACAAGGGTTAATTTTTGAACTCTCAAAAAACAAAATTTTAAGGAAAGTAGTAGAGGGTATTTCCCTATTATCTGCTCATCACTATGCCTTTAATAGGTTCCACACTGAAACACCCATCGTAATATACCTCAGAGCTAAATTGAGATTGCTGTTCCAGGGCTGGAAAACTTTCCAGATGGTGTGACCTCTCTCTTCCCCACCCCCAACCATTTTATATAGCATATTTGCATTTCTTTTATGAAAAATCCCTTACAGTAAACTATATCCATTATTGTTGGGTTTTTTTGAAAGATTTAGATTTATAAGCTTGACCCATCCCAAGGGCTGGGCTTGTAGCAAAATTGCACAAGATGAAATCACAGAGTTCTTCCTCCCAGAAGACTTGCTGTTTGCAGTATTACAAAACCAGATGAAAAAAGGAAGACAAGAAAAGACAAAAGAACACAAGACGTACCCCTTGCCAGAATCATCCCACACTCAAATTCTTATACTTCAGTTCCGCCCGGAAGCCTAAATCTAGATGTGGGTCTCCACAGATTCATGTTATCTCCCTCATACTCCAATTCCCATGCCTCCATCTATTTTACCTGATTC